TAATCATTAGAACTAGTTACTGTTGCCTTCATTGTTCTAGTCTTTGTGCCTCGTCACATTTACTTGTCCTCGCAGTTGAATGACACTTGAGAAATGCCCCGCCATCATCCTACGTTACATCACTATTGTCTTTCATTAGTCGCAGGAAAAATGGGGCAGGCTGTTTGGTCATCTTTTCTACAACTCTCTGCTGCTGGACACCTTTCGCAAATGCGGCGCTTGAAATGGCAGAAATTACTAGCTGCCTCTGATGCTATTTAAATTGAATTGGATTCAACGATTCAAATTGCCAACAACAAACAACCTTGAAGCTCTGCTAGTCCCCCTCTGCGAACCGTCCTATGGTATCTGACAGTCCCCTTTCAAGTCCACATCCCCCATTTAATTCAGCATTTCCCTGGTATTTGTTAATGTGTGTTCGTGGGAAGTGGGAGAACTTACGCTAAATAGGTGGGAAAACCGGTGGATTTTCAAATATTGCAAGAACCAATTCCAGGAAGAGTAAGCACACGCAAAGTAACATCCATAATGGGCTTAACATTAACATTGCTTGAAGTTATGAGACCCACAGAACCGCAATCTAGTCAACCCTATTCCAAGGCTTCGAAACTAGCTTAACTAAATTGTAAATTAGTGTTTTTTTGTCTCACATTTACTAGAGCTGTTATGCTATGATCCTCCTAGCAACTATTCTCGTGCTCTATTACATATACTCCAAAAGAAAACTATCCTAGATAGACACATGATGAAAACCATTAAAACTACATTTATCTTTCTGTTTTTCGGGCTGTGATCAAGTTTTCTCTTTGCGTCGGTGGGACTAGTTGTGGTTTCTCTGTTCCCTCTGAAAGTTTGATGGTAGGAAACCAGTTTTTAAGCTCAACTTCACTTCCCCCAACATCCTGCCCCCCCTTCGACACCAAAAACCTGCAGCGAGTGGCAACAGTTATAATCAATGCATAAATATGAAGCGATCTACCATCGGGTACACATCGGCGTTTCCGCTTTGTCACTGCGTTACGGTTCCCTCCCTCTTTTCTTTTTTCTTTTTATGTGCATTGCCCTTTTCCAATATTGGAAGGGGTATAACAACATCTGGAGGAGATAAGAAAGGGCCATAAGGCCATAAACCCAAGATTGCTGAGGAGACAGTCAAGGTTAGCCTCGCTTTGGAGATAAGAAATTAGCAACCGTCACCCAATCTGAGTAGTTTAAGTGTAAGACAACCGAGAACCGATTCAAATATTATACAGTTTTTAAGATATTTCGTCAAATCTAAAAGGGTATTAAAAGTTTGAGTTGCCGAAGCTAGCTTCCGCTTTCGTTTGTTCTCGAAAAGTTCCAAGTGCAACACAGGAAACCAACGCGACACAGACTGAACATAAAACCCAGAACCATGAATCAAGATATGGGAATCTGATGCAGTTTGCCCTGCGGCTCTCAGCCCCCCTGAAAAACCGAATAATATTGAATAGAACCCGAGAAAGATGGGGAGAGAGTTTATGGCCGAGGGAGGTGTGCCGGCCTATGTCGACGTGGCATAATCTTAAATGCTAATGCAGCAGTGTTCCGTGATGAATTTATAATGTGGAGTGAGCAACAGACAAAACGACTGGACAACCCCAATGAAAAATCCAATTACGAACAGCTGAGTTCGGGTTCATTAACGCGGATCGAATCTCGCCGAGAGCTGCAAAGGGGAGTGCATTCTGCCTATGTCATTAAGTTGAAGACTCCGGCCTTGTAGTCAAGAAATACGAGAAACCCACGCAAAACTTTCACACCAGAGAAATGAATGAATTAAAAGCCACAAAAGTCAAAACAGAATCCAGTAAATTCCTATGCTAATGCGATGATTGTGGGTGGATATATATAAACTACAGATGATGTGGACAGTGGAAAAGTAAACAAAAACCCGAATTCGAATTCGAGTAAACTGATTTTGTGCACTAAACAAACTATATATTCTTAGTTTGTTTAGTGCATAATAGACTCCAAGCTTTTCGAATCACATTCTGATTCGGAAATCTACACATTTTGGTGCTCTTGGGTGGTCTTAAAATTTTCGAAGAATCTTTTGGTCAGCATTTTGAACTTCTTCGATGGAGAAACAAAGAAAATCGGATGAAAAGCAAATAAACAGCAGAGAAGAAAGAAGAACAGAAAGAAGCCACAGCCGGTTGGGGCACCACCATCCATTCGAGCAGTTCCGAGTCCCGTGTCAGTTCATCTAAGTCCCGTCCCATCCAGATCCAAGTGCAGCAACTTTATGACGAGTCGTAAAAGAGAAAAAAGAAAACAAGCGCAAGATACAGATACAAAACAATCTGTAAAGTGGGCATTCACATCTGGCTAATGTTACGGCAGCTGTCTGTCAGTCTGCCGCTATGTGGGAATACGTATCAGAATCTCCATCTGGATCTGAATCAGCCTGGTCCTCTCATGGTTCCCTTTCGTTATTCCGGAATACTTTAGAAAGGAACGGAAGGGATTAGTGGAAGAAGCAGGAACAAACAATTATCAGTTTCCATAACCTGGAAGTAAAGTTCGAGACGTTTTGAAATGCTGACGCAAGCACAAAAAGTTGACAAGCCGCTTGACATATTCAAAATGCATATATGCAATCTGCATAAAATGCAAGTTATATATACAGCAGTCTCCGAACGAATATCTAGGGAACGGAATACAGCAAAGCAGGGAAGATTAAGAAAAGCTTCTGAGTCTGCGAGTAATCTTTGTCATTTGCAAAATGAAAAAGTGTTGTTTATTTTATTTGAGCTTCTGCAAATGCTATCATTCCTTAGGAGATAATGGAAGACTTTAAACTGAACTGGGTTTCTTTCTTATATATTGTGTTTGTTGAATACAATCGAATCACCCTATCCATTGGCGTTCTCCCTTTTCTTGCCGCAGGCCGCGTTTAATTTTAGCCAAATCTACGGATTCAGCTGCTCTATGCGGGTACCTCACCCTTACTTCACTCCCTGATGCGATGGCACCCGCACTGCCATAGATATATATAAACACAAATTATACATTATACATATGGTGACGGGGTTGTGCCTTGTCTATCGTCATTGTCCACGTCCGCCGATAGTTGAAGGTCGAATTGATCACCGCCATCGTCAGCATCAGCGTTATAATCAATGCAGTAAGTGCCGCTCTGGCCTGATTTGAGTTGGATAGGATTGGACGGGATTGGTATACAGATAGCTATGCGTTGATAAAGACAAGATGGCGATGTTGCTGAAGGGCTTCTGCTCTTATGTGCTCGTAAATGAGTAACCTTTTACGACATTATTTACTTATTAAGTCCAAAGTTTTTTTCTTTCCAACAATACTTTCTTTTATTATACACATTTATTTTTGAATATTTATCTGCACTTTAACTATATATGCACATAAATATATATATATATATATATATATATAAGTGTCGTACATATTTGCTGACGCGCGTAAAAATGACACCCCAAGTCCGGAAACCCTCTGTGCTCCTTCCTCCTTCAACCTCCTCCCACTGCAAGCGTGGAGCTATAGTGCAGCCTGACCTACATTGACGTCCAACTGCAACAACAAAAATTCAAGAAAAAAATCCGAAGACACAGCTTTGACAGCTGACCTGAATTTTCGCACGCACACTATTTTTGCGCTGGAAGCCGGCATTTCCCAGCATCTAGTAAATGGGATGAAGAAAAAGTCTGTTAATTCGAATCAGATTTTCCCGCTGGGACTTTAGCAATGATTTTTCGCGTGTGGGTGGGGAATACCAAGCAAAAGGAGCTCGCAATTTGCATATGTTGATTGGTAAGCCGGTTAAAAGTGCGACGTCCTGCCCCGCCCCTGGCTCAATATATATAGCGGTAAAGAAGGAGATAAGGATGTTGATAATCGGTTGGCCAGGTGGAAAAACAAAGTAAGAATAACAAGGGGAGAGAGTCAAAGAGGAATCCGGAAGTGTGCAGCTGCTGCTCAACCCTCCAACGTTCAGTTGCCCCACCCCCACTGCCACCCCTCCCACTCCTTTGTCTGAGCCGTCACATGGAGCGCACATGGCAGAAACAAAACGGAAACGAAACAGTTGCAAAAGTAGTAAAGAAGTCTTTTGCTCCGACAAGAGAGAGTACCAAAATCGGATTCTCTCCCACAAGAGCGAAAAAATCAGGAGACAGCAGAATAAAAAGGCAATGGAACTATACTAGAGGCGGGGCAAAAGGCTAAAGAGGCAGAGCAATGGAAATTGAAATTTACCGACGCGTTTTTCTCGCGTTTGTGCTCGTTTTTGTGTGCTTATGTTCTATGCAATTGGAACAACAACAACGGAACAAACCCCGAGGGCAGGTAAAACCTTGCGGAAGAGAGACAATAAAGAAGGGGAAGCCCACATGAAGGAAGCAAAAGGCAAAGAACACGCACCAACATTTTAAAATGAATATAGAATGAAACTCAAACCCAAAACTCGAATCTCAAGTGGGGATGCTTGAGTATCGCTCAAGTGATACTTGGGACTGGAATTGGGGTTGGAAGAGGAGCCGATTAGAATGCGCCCATTGAGCATACGTATTGCCCGCAATTAAAAGTTCAGGATTAACCTTTCAGATCCCTTAATCCATTGTTATATAATTTACTAGATCTGGTCCTAGATAGTAATGCTTTATCATAAATGATAATTGCTCATTTTAGGCTCCCTAACTTCCCTCTTTAGACAAATGGGTTCGCCACTTCTGTAGTTTACATTACCGTAGAGGTACAACACGAAATTAAAGAACAATTTCGCTGAGCTGGTAGTAAATTAATAATCTGTGTGGTGGTCAGAGGTTGCTACTTATCGCACAGATCACTGCCGTGTGATCCATCTTTAGTTTAGAGCATCTTGTAGTGTTAACTAAAGCCAAACTCTACATCAAATTAAAATATTCAAAACTATCAATTAGAAATGATGGCGTTCGGTTGGATATCGTATCCATTTTCTGTTTCTGTGTATTGGGACTGGTACTCACCTCGAGGTAAACATCGCTGTCCGGATTGAAAGTGTCGTTAACCCGACGGAATGTGTAATTCACGTGCGGAATAGAGTGCAGGATTTTGACGAGAATGCTCGGCTGTTCCATTTTTGTTGCTTTATGGCCGTATTCCAGTTATTATTGTTGGTGTTGTTATTGCTCGTGTAGTTGCAGTTGTAGTTGTGCAGCTGCCTTAAAACACACACATGCGGTTCCACAAGGATTATAAGAACTCTCTCTCTCTCTCTTTGAATTTGTTGTTGTTGATGGGGAGTATTCTCTTGGTGGGAGTTTCTCTCTGTGCTTTTGTGTGATTCTGCCAGCGAAGGACGTCTCTGCTCTTGACGTCACAAAACGCCGTCGCCGCTGAGAGACTGCCGCTGCAAGAATAAGCGAGAGAGAACAAGGACCGTTAGAAAACGAGATAGAGCGTATGTGCGTGCGGGGGAGAGTCCTGCCAAAATACATCAATAACAACGCATGCTCTCTCTCCCTCTCTTTTCGTTTTTAGCGCGTCCTGTCTGTTGCTCTAAATTTTCACTTTCACTTTTTACACACCCAAAAAAATATAAAAGAAAAATCCTGAAACCCAACAAAATTCACACATGTAAACACTGCCTGCGATTTGTTTGTTTAGGTTAAAAAAAACACACACACATAAAGTATACCACAATATAGAATAGTATACTAGTACGATTATTCGCACACTTTACATCCGGCACATGTTCCTGCGTTCATTTAAATGTACAACATATACACTAGATTAGTCCGACGAAAGTCGGGCGTTCAGGGCGTTGCTTCATTTACCGTTTCGTTTCGAGCCGCGACCCGTTTCGTTTCCGGTACGTTCCGTTTTGCAACCTCCCCTCGTTCGGCCTCTCTGCTCCACCTTTTCTTTTACAAATTGCGCCTTCTGAGTCGGATAAAAATATATCAGAACTTCATCGTTCTCAACGGGGCTTCCCATGCATCAATCCTAATAGTATCCGGGGAAATATTTCCCGACCGGCGATTGTGGAAACCTATGTTTCAACACGAAAATTATAATATTGAGAATCGATTCCACTCTTCGATGACAACCGACGCGCCGTTGAAAGTGCAATAACAAAGAGAGGAGATTTCGCGGTTGCTTAAATAGACTTTTCTGCCTGAGAGAGAGCCGCCACGGGAGAGAGCAGAGAGAGCTAAATACACAAAAGAGAGTAAAAGAGAGAGCACAGTGGGTTCAATTCAGCTATTTTCCGCCAGGTTTTGCTTTTTATTAGTCCTTCCCTAGCTAAATAGCTAGGGAATAAATTTCATGTTTTTAATGGAACAAGGCTTGAAAATAGATTTCATTTGAAATACAGATGTTGTAAAGCTGATGAATGGTTATATGATATTGGTATATATATTTACATACATACATATCGTTAAATTTAGCTATAGGATCAAACTTCAACTTAATTCCCTACAAGCATGATCTTGTTCTGTGATCTTAATTTGGTCGCCTTCCATTTGAATTAATTAAAATATTTTATATGGTAATCTTACTATTTTGACTTATAACAAATGACATCACTGAAAGAAGCAGAAACCTGCGCAACGCTCTCTCATTCAGTCTATCAGCCAGAGAGAGCAAGGAAAGAAGAGTGACTTATGAACAAGAATATGACGGCTTTTGGATACCCTTCAAATACCCTAATAACATATAATTCAGAACACGTATTTTTAAGATGTATTCGAAAACGACCCTACCTTTGAATGCAAGGGTATCAGCCCTTAGGCTTTCCGACTTTGATGATGAGAATTAAGCATTGATAAAAGGCATACAACTACGAAGTACAAAATAGGGAGGAGGCGTAAGCGGACAGTTGTAAAATAGATAAGGTCCAAGAAGTAAACAAGAACAAGGGAGAACAATCGATAACAATGCCATCATTACTTGCCCTCAACTTCAACTGCTGAAGTGCAACTGCAAGCGAGTTTTCAGCTCGTTTTGCTGATTTTTCATTTTTTTATATGTGCCAGTTCTCCTTCTCTTATGTATTTTTTTTCTGTTTTTATTCAAAGTCAAGCAAAACAAGTTTGCCAGTAAGTAGAGGTAAAGACAATGGCGACAGAAACTAACAAGAATAACCACTAAATGCTGGGCCAATGCAATTTATGCGGGGTTTGGGGCATTAGATACTTTGATTTACTTGCTTTATATAAAAAGTCAAATACTTTATACTTTTAAAAGAGTAATTGCTGCAAAAATAGGATTAACTGATAATGGGCCAAGGAATTGACACAAATTTTTAATATTATTTAATCATTAGGCGTTGGTTACGTTGCCCCATTTTATAGTCGCGGAAATATGGTTATTCATAATAAATATTTGTCCAATAGCGGCAAATCATGTTTCCTTTCCTTTATCGGTTTCTTTTTTTGTTGCATTCGACGATAAAAGACAAACATCACATAGACACATAGACACATAGACACACACACGCATACATCTTTATCATAGTCCGCACATGTGTTGGGTGTGAAAAAAATTGTTTAAAGTTTTAAGAACTTTACTGATGAAGGAATTAATAACTTAAACTTTTATTTCTTTAAACCTTTATATTCGAAGGAAGAAACAAGTAAACATTAAACTGCATATAGAAAAAAACGTACAAGCACTCACGCACTAACACTAGCACTCTCACAGAAGCAGCCTTTCGACACCTTTTCTCGAACTAAGAGGCCCTTGAACAGCTGGAATCTTAAGTTTTTGATTCCACCAAACAAACCGCGTTAGTTTTACATGTTCACTTAACAAAAAATTCGGGATTTTAACACGTTAGAACACGGGGAAAAATCGCAGTTTACTTTAGATGTGGAAGAAAAGCGATGACTATTCGATAATATTGGTGTCATCAAATACATGGGAATAATCGAATATTAATCATTTATCAGATACTCAACCCCAAAATACTCACGACAATATTTTAATTTGGTATATACCCAATACATGCACCACAAATCCGATAATTTTCAAAGAAAATAATTTAAGGAAATTAATAGTAAAAACCAAAACAATTTCAGTGGCTATATGAGACAGCCAATAAAAATGTCTTAATGTTCTTAATTCAAGTCTCCCAACATATATATATATCCTTTATCATTCCTTAGAATTCCTTTCAGGCAATATTTATTTTAAAAAATTGTTTATATTATACATATACATAATCTTTAAAAAAAAAAATAATAAATTCTTTCCATGGTAAATGTAAATTCTACAAACGCAACTATAATGACAAGCTGCCATAAGAGTTAACATTACAATATTCTATCTGCTCTTAAAAAATCTAGCAGTTCGCGCTTGAACCGCTCCGAAACCTCCATTTTCTGCGCTCGCCTGTACAATGTGCCGGGAAATCCATTCGGGAAGTTTACCCCGTATCCTAACACTCGAAAATCGTTCGTCTAGCAGATAGACACAAGCGTAGTCCTTAATGTGACGAACAGCTCGTCCAATACACTGGTTCACCGCCTTTATACACAAGTTCTCGTAAAATTCGTTGCCCGACCCGGGTCCGAGTTTCTCATCAAGGTGCTTCATTTTCTGCTGCAGTTCCGGCGAATTGCGATTGGGATACGGTAACCCAACCACTAAAACTGCTCTACCAAGGTCGTCGGTGAAATTCAGGCCCTCGGAGAGTTTACCTCCTACGACACTCAGTAGAAGGGCTCCTCCTGAACCAGATTCCTTAATGGCCAAAGCATACTTCTCCAAAAGCTGTTCTGCTGATCCTGAGGATTCCTTGAACACGACCTTCCGACGGGAAATACTTTTGAGAGTTTCTGACTGCTCTAGATGCTTGTAAACCTTATCTAAATATTCGTAGGATGGCAGAAAGCAAACCATTCCTCCTGGTATCACTTGGCACAGATTTTGAAGAATCATAGAGAGCTCCTGGAGCTGCACGAAAAGATTAAAAACACATTCTTTAAAAGAAAATAATGTAAAATCGAAAATGCGCACCATTTGTGAAGTGGCCCTCTCGGAAAATTTAAAACACAAAGGTGCTCCCGTTGGACCGTTGGACACTACAAAAGGCAAGACCGCATCATTTGGCACAACATGACTGTAGAAACGCTCTACCAGACGACCCTGGCAACTGGAAAACAGTTGCTCCTTTAACTCCTGAGTAGGGTGCATGGTTCCTCCAGCAATCACAATCTGCAGAGTATTAAAAAATGAGTAAACGGGTAAACTAACCTTTTTTTTCCTTACTAACCGCTCTGGCTTCGCTAACAATATCAGAGAATTGCTCGGCGGGATCCAGCAGTAAATATTTGAGGATTCCCCCTTGGGGATCTAATAAGATCCTGCCATCCTGAGCATCGCTGGTTAGCGTTTCCAGAAATGACAGCAATGGTTTCATGGGAGAGGGAGATAAGTCCAGGACTAGCTTACTTGGCGGACAGTGCTTTTCTAGTTGCTCTTCACGTGCGTCCTGGACTTCTTCTATTTTCCTCTTAAGATGCTTTGACTTATCGTTTTGCTTCTGCTCGTTAGCCAATCGTTGAAGGATCACACTCCTCGCCGATGACACGGGAGGCAGATTCTCATTGGGCCGTGGGGCTCTCTGCATCTTGGCCGCATGCCCCTGGACTTTCCTGGCTAATCGAGTGCGTGCGCAAAAGTCAAGAAGCTCACAGAGATCAATGTTAAAAAAGTCTCCTTCAGCTGTTAGCTCATAGGTGCGTAGCATTCGAGAGGAATTGGGCTTGGTTTCCTCGCCCGGATCGACAATTTTAAGCAAGCGGCGGACTATAAATATGAGTTGATTTATTTTTAACAGATTTTTTGTGCTAAAACGTTTCTGAAAGTACTCTTTATAGCAAGATATCTCCACTTTAGCCTTCTCCAACTGTTGCCGTTTGATTTCTGCACCATGAAGCTGAGACAAACTTTCTAAAAGATTATGAGCCTCATCGATTATTACAATGGATCCCTTGACATTTATGCCTAGCTGGCTTCGGGCGGATTTCTGGAATATTAGCTGATATGGCAATAGGATTAGTTGAGCTTGCTCTAAAGCGGATCTGGAGGCGTAGTATGAACAAGCGCCGCAAGCTGCCCCTTCGCTGGCCATCTCCTCAATATCTAGGGGTTCGCTCAAGGCCAAATCTCTAAGAGATTCCATTAAAGAAGTAATTTTAAGAGGGCACCTACTGTTGACCTCTTCAGTTAGACGACTTTTTTTGCTGGGATTGGGATGTGGTTTCTTGGTTGCCATATCTAGGCAACGCTCATTCATCAGCCCAACTTGCTTGAGGCTGCGTACCTGCGGATTGCCGCACAATTGCTGCCGGGAGCCCAGGGAGATGCACCTCACTGACTGCCCATGCGGTGTTTTGCGGAGTTCCGTCACGATTTGTGCTAATTGCGAATGGGTGCGACTGCAAAAAAATATTTGTACTGGGCGATAGCGGTCTTCGGTGGTTTCCTGAGGTCCGTCTGTAGTTTCGTGATCTGAATCCGAGTCGGAGGTGGATTCTCTGTCATTTTCTAGTTCCACCTGCTTGCTTAGAGGTTGCCTTTTTTGCTTTTTATAAGCTTTAGCCCGATTCCTGATCCCTGATAGCTGTTGATCTTGTTTGTCCAGCAGATTCTGCAAGTGCTGCAGCTTCTGTAGTTCCTCTCGTTGTATCCTGGACTTTCCTTGGGTTTCCAGCCAATCCCTTGCCAGCTGGTTCTCCTCTTCAAGAGTTGCCAGCTCTTGCTTAACTTCGCCGATCCTCGCAAGGATTTCTGAGCGCACCAACTCTTCGTGCCTTGCTAGCCAGGTGAGTGCGCTACACGTAAGGGTAAGGGACTTCCCCGTTCCGGTGGGACTCTCGAATATGCCAACCTTTCCATTTTCTAGCACCTGGAAAATATCCTGCATCAGCTGCTCCTGAATTGCGTATGCTGTATATGGAAATCCAAACTCCTGAGCGGTAGGCGTCGTCAGTGGTTGTTGAGGCTCGTACTGGGCCATTTTCCCGCATTTCTTTATTTTAATCACATTTCTGGGGAAATGAGCGAAAAGTAAAAACTGCCAAGACAAAAAGACGCGCCAAGAAAAAGAAGAACGACAAAAGGGGGACGAAATATAACAAAAATAACTTAGTGCGTTAGAGGTGAGACTTATAATTAGGGATGGATATGAAAAATACATACGATATTTTACTTTTTAGAAAACGGTCGACTCCTTTGCCTTTAAATGTTGGAAACATTTTGTCAAGTAGAGGTTTCGTGCTTAGAGGGAGCACTGTAGTTGTTCTGCTTATTCCATGGCTTATTAGCAGATGACATTAACTTGTCTGTAGTAATTCGATAACGTTATCTTTTTCTTTTCAACTCTTCTGAGCTTTTTCACTTTGCCATTATAATCACAATTGGTATCTATATTTCAGGGTTAATACATTTTATATTCAAGAAATGCTAAGCAGAGAATTTCAAAGTTTAGCTTTCTTTTATTTTGCCCATCTCAAAACGATATATCGATAGCCGTCATCTCAATAACGCCTTTTTTGTTACTAAAAAATACTGCAAGCTGCAGAGGCGCCAAAATTAGTGGAGAAGGAATAAATATTTAAAAATTAAGAAATTAACGATACCCAAGGACATAAGGAGTGAAATCTGATATTTGCGGGTGAGTTTAATGCAAAGTGCACAGTGCAGCAATATACATAAAAGGCAATCAAGTGGAATAAGTGGCGTTCATATTAGGTAGATGATATTGCGCCTTGCTGCCAAGATGGCGTCCCTTTTACTTTCGGCCAGAAAATAACCAAATTTGCGTATTAAAAGTGTGTTTATGTTCTTAAATTAACTGAAATGCAATTAAATCGTGATAAGTGGTATACATATCAATTATTTTGCAATAACGATGGGATAAGTACTCATTTTCGGCTATTGGTAATTTTACTCGCCCCCAAGATGGCGTCCATTTTTTTTTGGTCATGACATAACCACACATTTTTTTGCTTAAGCTTTTCTTTCACTCTTATCTTTATCGCCTTGTCTCCTTTGTTTCTTTCGAAATGCATAGAAGCAAGGCCTTTGCATATGTTTGTAATTACATACATACATACATTTGTTTGGATTAGAATCTTGGTAGCACTATAATTAATAAGAATGTTTCCATAATTGTATGGTTTATTGGGAAATTTAATCGAATCAAAATCTATAATGACTTCGATAAAAGAAATTCGTACAAATAGACAAAATATGATAATTTTTGAATTTAAAACAATATATATTTTTAACTTTATAACAGCTTTATAGGACATATTAACTCTATATATTACCATTATATTATGTGTCTGTTTGAATTGTAGGATAGGTGCTTTCAGGGGCAAGGGAGGCAACAATTTTTTAATAACACAAATAAGTTTAAAGGTGCCTTAAATAATACTCAGATTTAATTTTGGGTTGGGGTTAGCTAAGTTTCTGTTAGTTGAATATCCTTGTCCTTATAGTTCCTCACATCTAAGCGTCTATACGAAAGGGCGGTCATGTTTTGATCCATACGCCTAGTGACCCTTCTCAAAACTATGTGCACATATAATATTCTTTATATATGTACTTTTCGTCGAATATTGACCTAGGTGTAAAAGATACGTAATAGGATTGGTAATCGCAATGGGCCCGAAAGACATTTCTTATTTGTCACAATCGTGTTTCTGCTTGTGGGTTCGTTCGGTGGCATAATTTTTAACTTAACGCACGACTATAAATACACAATGCTGCAACACATGTAAGAATCTATATAAATTCAAATACAAATACACTGGCGTGTGTCACTGTGATTGCTTATAGTTACCTCAATGATAATGATAATGCGTTCTCTGGTTATTTATGGCTGATTTTTTATGCGATTAAATGATATAATTTATCATAGCTCTGCGTTGTGCTACGTTTTAGAAAATTTATTAGGTTTCACCCACTTTATAGAAGTTAAACCGCAAGAATCGTTTTGCTAAAAAAAACTGTATGAAGATTGGTAAGCACTACGGCTAAAATTATACCTTGCAGTCCCCAGCTTCTATAGCTTTGATGGGTAATAACAGCCGACCTGCAGAGGTTAGGTCTGAGAAGAATTATTCTACATATTGTGTGGCCGGTGCATGAGACATCTGTGGAGGCGGTGACCCAATCTATGACACACGCTGCAGCGAGAAGGATTTTGTGCGCTGTTTTCGTTCTTTTATTACTGTTATGACATTCAATAAGCAATTAGGCATTAATCACTGCCGGCGGCAGAATTAATCACTCGAGCAGCGGCTCAAGCCCAGGCCTGATCGTAGCTCAGAGCTTCGAAAGCCAGCCTTCAACTTATAGATATTAGCGGGGCGACGGAGAACAGTTGAATCGGTGAACCCGGGGCTTTAATGGGTTTCTATCCAAGAGTAGTTGGCGACATAGCAAGTCGCACTTGCTGAGTCGCCGATAGAGACAGAATCCCGCTAACAAGATATGATGTCATCGTCTGTATATAACTTGCTCTGTGGAGGCGCGGCTCGGATCGGTAGAACAGATTGTCCCACGCCCCCGCGGAGACACGCGCCAAGAACGAATATAGCCGAGTTAACAATTAGGAGATCACTGGGCTATAATTACACACACCGAATGGTCATAATAGTATCAGTTCCATTACTTAAAATAATACACACTCCTGTGTTCGCTGAAATGATTTTTTTTGACTGATAGTTTATTTCAATATATTTTATTGTTAAACCCATTTTGTTGAGTGCAGCATCTGTTTAGCGCATTTGTAATCCAGATAGATCAATGACAAAACTCATATAGTTGGATATCAAACTTGAATTTTATTGTTGTTCTTTTAGAGTGTGATTGGTTGTGGTCGAATCGTAGATGGTTTACAGAAACAGTTAGAGATACAGATATTGATGCGAATATAGCGCGCGTTAGATATACGAGTACGTCTTCGGAATAACGTAAAACACACTGGGTAAGGATGACTTGGGTGAGAGTTAACATTATCGACTATCCATTATCAATCAGTAAGACATAGATTTGATTGGGCTTGGTTGCTGTTCCTCTTTCTTGGCTTTCACATTGTTCGCCTAGTCGCCTAGATCTATTTTTCGAATAGTTTTGCTCTGGTCAAAATTACACAAATAACATCTGGACTCTCTCGACACATTTTTTCTTCTTACGTTTGTTTTTAGCACAGTTTGTGGGAGTTTTCTTTGTTTGTTGCTTGATCTTGCGGTTTGTGGTCATATACATATATAAATTTCTTTAACTTTATCAATATCTTTAGCAATATACATGGATATATATAGGTCTAGAGCTACACAATTAAGGGGCTTAGTTGGGTTTGTAATGGGGTTTTCTGGTCCGCTTTTGCTAGCAGCTGAGTTCGGTTTGCGATTTGCTTTTTCAGACAATAACTAAGTTTGATCTATCGTTATTGTTGATCGTTCTATTTATCCAGGTACTTTCGCAGCGCATGTAGTGTTAAAGTTATTTATTTTTGTTAAACTTCGTTTAGCTTAAAACTAAAAGCTAAAAAGATGTGGGGACCGGCATAAGGTCAAGGACAAAGGTCGAAATGGAAAAATGTTGATCAGATGCGCCACTGTAGAACGAATGAGTCCTCTGTGGATGAAAGTGATGATGGCTGTCGGATGATGTCGAACTATTTCTACAATGCTCTATTAATACAATATTTCTGCCATTCAGCTGCTGGCAGAAGCTGCCCACAAACCCAGAACTCAAACTCAAACGCGACTCTAAGATAATATTTATGTAGATATATATTAGAGAATATTAATCGAAAACAAACAAACAAATCGAGAAATAATACAAAAATTAACGAATTTACAAGCGGGAACTATTCTCTCGTCCTCTGATTAGTTTTTGGTGATCTAACATGGACTTGATTGCATTTTGCCATATATAATTACGTTTTACAGTTAGCATTTACAGTTACAAATTACATTTAACATCGAATGCGGTGGCAACCCTGGCAACTCTTCCACTCGCCTGACCTGAGTTGTTGAAACTTGTTTTAGTTTTCAATTTGTTTTTGGTAAATATTTTTTAGTTTAATTTTTTTTTTTTTTTTTTTTTTTTTTTGGAAGCTGAACGTAATATCAATTGGCGGCGAGTTAAGTTGTTACCCTAAATCTTTAAGGGTTGCTTCTTTGTGTGTGTGTGTTTTGTGTGCGATTGTTTTGTGTGTGTGAGGTAAACTTTGCTCAAGGTATGATCAATACAATTTTTAATTTAACTTCCATTTCGAGTGGAAGGGTTTCTTTGCTGGTTAGGTTACATGCTTAAAATGCTATTTGGGGCAAAAAGGCACGCATTTAAATAGGGGTTACTTGGGTTTACTTGGGATTTTGGGGTGACATAACATTATGGTAAACTTGGTACAACTAGAGAAAAAAGGCGGTGCTTAAGAGGCTGGAAGAGCACATCGGGTTCGTTTACATGTCATAAATAACGGTGTTGCGTATATTGCATACATATATAAATTGTATCGATTATCGTTATCGTTATCGTTTATCGTTGGTTAACTCTTTTTAGATCGAGGCATTTACGATTACAAATCAATTTAAAAGCACTTGTGATTTTTTGTTGTAATTTTTTGGGTTGGATGCACCTTTAAGCCACTTTTTGGTGTTCACAGCTGTTTGTACACACACATTTGTATATATATATATATATATATATATAACTGTTATATCCGTGTATAAATAGTTATGCTTTAACTCGTAGATCAAGCAATAGACAGGCACAAATATATAGGTTTTGCTTTGTTTTAGTACATCCTTGTATATATATTCATCAACTTTTCTACCGCATGTATATATTATAAAATACAAAAGTGTTTTGTTTTGTTAAACTTTAATAAGGCGCAAGTAGAAAGGAGTTGCAAAGTTTAAATTTTAGCAGCCCCTTAAGGTCTTAGATTCCACCGTTTCATACATCATACATATCTCTTTCTTTCCATCTTCTTATATATGTGTATTTAGTATTTAAATATTTTGTTGATCTTGAATATGTAGATTAGTTTTGCGAAATATTTAACAAAGTGTAGATTAGTAATTTAGTTTTAGTTTTCAATTGAAAGATCTTTTTTTGTCGTTTTCATTTTTGATTAAGGCAACAGCTAACACAATTTTCGCTCATCGTTAAAAAAGCTTACAAAGTACGGACACAAAAAAAAAAAAACAAAATTCATACATGTATTTTGTTTGTTTATACGATATATGTATATATATATATGGTTTATCACTGACTAAGCCTAGGTTTTAGAAAAAAATATCAAACGTCATATCGCATGAACTTCCTATTTATGTTTCTGCGTCTGCTTCGAATTCTCAAATTGAATTTTCCTTCTAATCTCATCCGATTGTTTACATATATAAGCAGAGTTAATATAATTTTTAAGGCCTTGCTTGGATCGAAGAGCAAATAAAAATACGCTTGAAAAAGAATTGAACAAATTAATATTAATAATTACTGATGCGGATGTGACTGCTCGCAGTTGATTACTGCTCTTCCTCTCTCGACTTCCCTATCTCGCAGGCTTGCAATGGAATGTTATCGATATACCTAGTTATCGTATCAAAAATTGGGTTATGTACAGTTGTGCAAGTATTACTTTTTCCGCTGCGCGTGTGCTTGTGTGCTCGTCACACTTCTGATTTTGTCCATTGTCCTACGTTCTTTACTCCTTACTTTTTACAGCTCTCTATCGATAGTTATCTGTTAATTGTTTTAGCTTTCTGCTTTATGAGGTAGTCAAGCCACAGGCTGGATACCGGCTCCAGGCGGACTTGGGATGTAAGGATCAGGCTTTTTATGAAGAAGGAAGGAGGATGAATTTGGGGGTTGGGGATTATATTCGAGTGCTTCATAAATAAATCGCGGGATCGGGGCCTTTCATGGCTGTTTTGCTATTGGAAGAACTTTGATTACGGGCGTTTAAAAGGTGGGTGAAGTATTGAATAACTCGGTTAACTGCAAAAGAACCCGAAGTTAAGAAACAAACGGTTTAAGGAATGTAAAATGTGATAAATTAAAGCAGATTTTAAAAATGGACTATTTAAAATAATATATCTGAAATTTGGAGTTAAAAAACGTTTTAAAATGTTTTAGTTAAGTGGAAGAATTTGCAGGATAATATGGGTCGGATTGGATGGGATCTCGGTAAAAGGTTACTGGTTTTTGAGGGGACTGCGGCTTTGTTTTCTGTAATCCTACTTTGCTTAGTCGATGTGTGGCGGTCGCGAATAACATTAGTATAGGGTTAATGGCCTAGCACCAGTAGTCTACATGGGCCCAAGCCGGATCCTGTTCTTCTCCGAGTTGCAGCTCCATTTCGAGTTCGAGTTCCACCTGCCGATCAAGTTGTGGACTAGCTGATGGTTCCTCTTTCTCAACAGGGTTGTGCAATGGCTGCTGCTGCTGCTGTTGGCTGTTGGACTGTTCGAAGGCTAGGAGCAGCAGGTTGCGGTCTCGATCCCGCTCCCTGTCCGGCGCCCTTCCTCACGCCAGGCAACTACCGTTGTTCATAAACGCGGTGGCTGAATCCAGGTCCACATACTCCCCGCCGTCGTCCACAAGCTGGGACAGCAGATCGGTGGTGTAGCAACCGTTCTTCAGCAACAGCAACTGCTCGTCATCGTAGGGCGTCATCACACCCACACCAACGCCAATGTTTCCATGCTGCAGGCCCTGGTGAAAGTCCATCAAGTGGTTGTTATTGTTATTATTATTGTTGTTATTGCCGGTATTGCCATTCGAGTGCACCACACTGGCCATGTTGACGCCATTGATACCGCAGGGCGAGGGCAAAACGCAGGCGTTCTTGATGTCAGGAAAACCATCGCTAGGCTCAAACAAGAACCTCTCCGCACTTAGGGCGGTGGTGTATGGACTCTGCGAGTCCACCAGCTCGTTCTTCACAAACTCAATGGTGCTGTTGGTGGCGGTGGGTGTTGTGGAGGTGTTGCTCGTGGCATTGCTGCTGCTTATGTTACTGTTGTTGCCGCTGGTGATGTTACTGCTGGTGTTGCTGCTGCTGTTGTGACTTTGATTGTTGCTGTTGCCGTTCAGACCATCACAGTTGGGCACATAGTCCGAGATCAGACTGGGACTAGGATTGGCTTGCTGCTCAACCATGCTGTTACCGGCGGGATTCAGAGGCTGTTGCTGCTGCTGGTAGCTGGCGTGCTCGAACTCCTGGTCGCTTGGCGACGGTTTACAGTAGCCAGTGGGCAGTTGTTGGGCCATGGCCGCCGCCGTTTTTGAGCCATACTTAAAGGTGGCCATCGAGGGTATGCTCTGTAACCGCTGGCTATTGTTGTTCCCGGAATTTGTCACCTCGTTGGACGTCTTCAATTCCAGATCGCTGAGATATTTATGGGCCGGCGATATGAGCAATCGGTTGGGCAATTGGCAGCCTTCGGCTCTCTGGCAGCTATGCGATTGCAGCATGTCTATCAGCTTTCTGCGATCAGCTTCTAGCACACGAACTTGGTTCTTCAGATCCACGTTTTGGGTGTCCAAGATCTCCGACTCCTTTATCAGATTCTGGGTGCGTTCGCGCTTCTTCATTCGACACTTGGTAGCCGCGATCTTGTTCCGCTCGCGACGCCTCCGACGGCGGTCCTCGTCCTCGGGGGTGAGTCCCTTTGGCTGCGATTTGGTCTCGCTGTCCTCGTCGCTCGACTCCTCACAGTCGTCGTACAAGTCGTTGGCATTGCTCATGCTGCCACTGTAGTTGTTGCATTTGCCGCTATGCCCGTTGTTGCTGCGCCGCGAGTACTTGGAGTGCGGCTGGTCCGATCCCGAGCTGGAGTCGCAGGTGGACAGCTTTCGCTTGCTCTGAATGGACAGTTTTAAGCCCTCCTTGATCAGGCGAGAACACGTCTGCAAAGGCAGGAAGTAAGGTAAAAGTTAGCGGTTAGAGCCGATTATTTCCAAGCCAAATGGAGGTTATCAAATATTATATATTCAAGTTAATCATAATAAGTTCATATCAAACACGCTTGCTTCTATTACATTTTCAGTGATGTGAATCTGAGAAACAGTTGTTTTGGGTCATTTTTAGAACTGTAACTCTGCACCATCTGAAATATAGCTTTAATGTTATCGGAGAGGGATCGACAAAGTTCCCGAGAGTTGGATGCCCCTTGGGGGGGGGCAGGCAGACATATAGATATGACGAATCATGGCACGATTTCACGGGACAAGGTCTGAAGCGAGGAGATTATCTCCAGCGGCATTTCCAGCTTTGTTCGTTTGTTTATTCGCTCGGCGATTAACTCCAGCGACCTTTTTCGCGTTTTGGCTTAGGGCTTGGCACCTGGTTTTGGGTTTTGGGTTTGGGTTTCGGGGATACTCGAGTTGTGCATGAATAATAAATATTAAAGCAAACAGATAGAAATCTGCTACGGTCACCAAGCCCAAAAAGTATATACTTTCTCTCTGCCCTGACAAGTGCATTCAGCACTCGATTAATTCCGCGACGGAGGTTGGTGGGGGGCTTTTGAAAACGAAATCCGAAAACTGAAGTAACCTTGATGGCCATCCTGCACTAGGTCAGTTCCATTTACGGAGATCAAGACCTGAGACAGCAGACAGGACCAGATGGTCATCACTCTTCTCTGTGGACTGTTAACTTTCGATGATTGACGGGATTGGCTGCATTCAGCAACGTCAACTAGTACAATGCCCTTCGAATTGTCTAAGAATTTATGAAGGGTTTGGTAAACTGCCCAGACTAGCTTAAGACACCTAAGTACCTAAGACCTAAGTAAAATATGTTTCCAAAAGAAGACGTTTTGACATGAAGCTCATTGAAATGTCGACCATACCGTCGACTCTTTATACTTTTTCTGGAATCCTCTTTTTGCGAATTTGGTCTGCTGTCTGCCAGAGGAATTTTTTGGATGCCACTGATTGAACGCGCCCTTGTTTTCAGTGCTGCTGTTAATTTGTATGACATCGGGCACGCAGCGCCTTATTTATTGACCCAGAAATCAGATAAATAAATGTTGTGTTTAAGAAACGACAACTAAAGAATGCCGAATTCGTAATCCGAAATAAAGAAATAAGCTCCTTCGTCTGGCCCCCGATTCCAAACAATCAAAGACCCTAAAAGAACGGAGCCAAATGGGCAGCGTCAATTCTGTTAGAAAATGCAATTGTGTGGAGGGGAATGGGACTGGAGATGTAAATTGTAATGAGAATGAACCTCAGAGGTTGCGGTTTCAGTTGAACAATCTGTATACCTATATTACTTAGTATCTGTATCTTCTTTACTGTACTCTGTTTATGTTTCTGGCAGACTTTGCTGAACTGCCGAGCCTTTCTTTGCATTTCGCATCGCTGCAACTTTAGTCGCAAAATTCCCTCGAAAATGTATTAATAAGCACGTTTTTCGGCTGGCAAATTAGCATTTTGTTTGAACTTTTGCATATTTCTTACCCGTTCTGTTTGCCATTCTCAAAATTTCTCCCCACTTTACATTTCCCCCATTTGTTAAGCGATCTTTTTGGCAACATTTGTTCAAATATTTGGCGTGCAAAGAAAAAAAAGCGAACACTGGGGGCAGGAAACTCTTGGATGAGCTTGTGTCCAATTCTCCGGCAGAAATCCCCTGCTAAGTTCAAATTTCAATCGAAAAGAAACAAAGTTCGCTCTTATTCAATCAAGGGGTTATAGGAAACTTGAAAAGTACCTTGTTAGCCATTAACTGCATAGTTAAAATGAAATTGAGTGTCATAAAAAAGGGAAAATTGCCTACAATAACCTTTGAAATTTATTTCCATAGACGAAAACGATTTATTAGCTTTAGAGTGCTCATTACATGGCCACTACTATAGACACCTGACACTTTGTTTACAATTCGCTCTCTATTTGTTCAGTTTTTCTTTAGGATATTTCCGACTAAAGTTCGGATGCTTCAACAAATTTTCCTAGAGTGCCATCCACCAATGCATATACATGTTTCAATCTGGGTCCAATCTGAGAACTCCACTCCACTTTGCCGTTTTCATTCATTCATTTATTCGCCCACGCAGCACACGACGTCGTGCAAAAGCGACCCACGCACTCTCCACTGGCTATTTGCCGGTCTGTCCGTCCGTCCGTTTTTTGTCCGTAAGTTGCTGCGTCTCTGTGAGGCTGTCCGTCCGTCCGACTGACACCGACGTGCGCTTTGGCTGCGTGTGGGCGTCAATTGCGAGTCATTGCAGCACTGCGTTCGACTATCTGCATCTGCATCCAAATCCAAATCCGAGTCTGAGTTGCCTCTGAATCTCTGTGCGAGTGGGGAGAATCACTCTTGGCTGACTGACTGACTGACATTGGCCTTAATGAGGCACGTAACTGCGGCTGCCAGTGGTGTCACAATCAGCGATTAATTTCACATACGAGCCAAAGGCTGCCGATCAGATCAATGGGTATGCATCCCCAGTCTGCTCCCGCTTCTAGCAATAATTGGCAGGTGTCTATAGACTGTATAGCCCCGGCATCTCTATCCGCTATATACGAGAGTGTGCAAATGTGATTTATGATAATTACTTAAGGCGTTGGGCCGGCGCAGCTTTTAATTGCTGCAGCAACAGGGTGAGCGCAGCAGCGCTTAATCTTTTCCATTTGTTTTCCAAAAACATCCTATAAATTATGACCGCTGTACTCTTGCCTCCTATTTCTGCGGCACCGCTTAAATTAATTATTGACAGATTACAGCCCAGGTCGTTTGTCTTCGGGTTATGAATTCGTGAATTTATGAATTCTCCTGCTTTCTGTAGTGATTTCTTCTTCAAAAAGTTAATAAGCTTCGCCTGACCCTATAAAAACTCTCATAAAGTTACAAAATAGATCTAGAATTCTCTAAACTCTACCTATTGATAGAAGCATTCGGTTTTGGAGTCTATTATAAGATACTGGGATCCCCGTTCAGTAGATGAAATTACCTGTTGCACGCTGGGTGTGGTGGCCGTGCCCGCTGGGGAGTCGAGCGGCGATCCGGAGCAACTGGAATGACTGCTGTCCTGCGACTGCAAATGGAAACAAAGTAGACACACATTAAGTATACGTCATGTCGCACACTTCACACTGGGTTTGAAAATCCTTACCTGGCCGTTGGGATGCCCGTTGAAGTGACGCACGGTGACTACCGGCGTGGACGCGGCACTGCAGGATGCCGAAGAGGCTGCCGATGCAGAAACAGCGGCAGAAACGGCAGCCGCTGTCCCCGAACTATAGTTGAAGTTGTCCAGCGGATTGGTCATGGCGATCAGGGAGTTAAGGATCTCGGGTGTCTTGGGCGTGTGGGCCCCCATCAGGATGCCGCCGTTGTCGATGCTGAGTAGCGAGGTGGCCGGTATGTTTGAGTTGAACATGGCTATCTAATCGGTTGGCAGTTGCAGTTGCACACACGTGAAGTTAAACAAAAACTAAACCGAACTAAAATTAACGTATCAAACTAGGTTTCCTTGTTTTGTTATGTATTCTTAAATCACAGTTGAAGGCCTACGCGTTGCATTGGTTGGTTGGACTGTCCAAAAAGTTCACTTCTATATATCTTGTATATATATTTTGTATGTGTATATAGAATGCGTTCTGGAGTTGCACACTTTTCACTGTTTCGTTTATCACAATTCAAAACTCCTATCAAAAAGCTCTAGAGTTTTTCCTTCGGTTTATTCAGTGTTTTTGAGGGGCTGGATGATTATGGCCGATCCATCGGTTCCATCGGCCCAGATCCCCGACTTTTGTTGTTGTTCAGAGCGCTAAGGCCGAGCGAATGCGTTGAACGTCGAACAGCCGGCACTTCGCTTCACATCGGCCGCGAATCTGCAAAATACACAGAGACAAAAAACAAAAAATGAGAGCGAGTACGAGTGTGAGAAGAGCGACAGATATGTAGAGAGATAGGTAGATATAGTGGGGCGACTGACGAACGTGAGTGCGCCATGTTAACGTAAACAAAAGCAATTAAATTATAAAATAAACTCGGCTAAATTGATTTATGTAAGTTATGTCACGTGATCGAGCTTACAAATCTCGATATAGTGATTGATCACGCACCAAGAAAACCCCCGCGAACATTTTCTGAATGCCTCAATTAAGCTATTAATCGGCCAATTGAGCCCGCGCACACTTTCCACATAACGTCTTCAGACCGGGTGGGAGGGTGTCAATGAATGTACGAGTGTATGAAAGGTGCAACACACATTCCTCGGGGGTTAGGCGAGGTGAAGGTGAGCTGAAAAAGAAACTGCAGCAAAATTCCTTGGCGGCAATTGAAACGGAATTAAAATGCAATTGAAGGCAATCATCCATGAATTCGCTTGACTCCCGAGAACCCCTAAAAACAGATCGGCAAGTGAGATGGTGCCAGAGGGGCTGGAAAAACCGCCCAATACGGCAGTATTGTAATTCAAAATATATCTAATATTATTAGGAACTACAAAATTTTATAGACTTCGAAAGCTCGATAAGATTACAAAGTGGTAAAGTAATGATTTTCGATTTTGAATACTAAAAACATAGATTTCCCTTACATTGATAAGAATTTTATTACCAAATGCCGTATAACATGGCTAGAACGACTCGGCCAGAGATCCTAAATTAGTGGTTTGGCTAAGAATTCGTTTTCAGACTGCTAAACTTCAAAAGCCGAAAAGCAGAACAAAATTTCTCGTTTCTGCTTCTTCTGACTTTTGGCCATTTATCATATGGCCAGAAGTGTTTTGCGCTCGTGGTAGTGCATGTATGTGTGTGCGTGTGTGTGTTTGACTTGCTCTATAAGTTTTAGAGTTCCCGGTCTGTTCCAAACCGAAAGTCACCAGCAAACAACAACACACAGGCAGAATACGAATTATGATTTATTACTTTCGCATGTTCCTTTATTTTTGTTAGACTGGGGATTGCCGTTTGTAAGAGCTTTTAATACCTTACTGCCTTTGCCCCTCTCTACTGCAACGAAAATAACTTTTGACATTAGCCTCGCTCACAACATCGCTTTTTGGCCCAGCTCTTGGCTTCCACTTCGGGCCCGGCTATCGGCTTTGATGCCAAAGCTTATTTTGACCAAATGCGGCGGACATCAACGTCAAAATCAGCGTCAGCGACAGCAAATGCGCGTGCGTGGCCTCCCCGAGAACATTTGGGTCAGCGCACAAGGGGTAGGGGGTGGCGCGTATAGGCCCCCTACTCGGCTAAAATCGTATACAAAAATGTGTACACAAAATTTGAGTTGCGGCTGGCATGGGCATTCCACTTAAGTATCCGATTTTGTATCGCCAGTCAAAGCAAACCAAACTAATCAAAGGCCGCCAGACTTGGCAGCTCGGCAAATGGCAAAGGGAGATGGATATCTCTGGGAAATGCTGCCAGCAAAGCATTCCTGGCATAGTTCAGCTAAGCAACAGGTACTAAAGGTATGAATAACGAAATATTCTACAAAAAAATCTTCTTTAGGGGCATGATGCATCAACAGCTAAGCAATGTCACAATTTATCGGTGAATTTGCATCGGTCACGTCGCTTACTGAATTATCCCAAAAAGTTGCGACTGACGGATGAGTCAGAGGCCGATTCGGATTCCCGTTCCATTTGCATACTCTTAGTAGTGGAGCTATCGAATGCAAAACAATGAATTGACAACCGGTGCGATTGCACAACACCACCGAGCATTATATAAATAACATTTCATACAACAGCACTTCATAATTGCACAAGGAAAAGACGCACGTGCACTTATCATAGGGGCGTGTTATGTGAAAACACCGCAAAAGCGAAGTACATCGAGTATGTGAATTATTTTATATCAAATTATTGTATATCAAAGTCGAAGTGGGGGCAATAGAGCGTATAAGTGCATTTAAAACCCATTCTGTTAACCAATGTCTTCACAGCTCGAGTGCATTATGGTCTTAGATGGCGATGCGATTTATATAAGTCCGACTGTGTATATTTATGTACATCTGCCGCTTGCTTGCTCGCTTTGCTACGTGCCTCGGCAATACTCCACATTTCATCCGAGCCAATAAATTGGAAAAGGCCATGAGCAGGGGAAACAATGCAATGTTAGCTTGTTGAGACATTTTTCGAAAAATCATGAACTTTCTTGCAAACGTTTCGATTACCTATTAACATAAAACACGATTGAATGCCAAATGCAGAGCACATATTTAAGTTTTCTATACCACTCAGTTGGATTAGTTATTTGCCGATATAATACCCAAGAACTCTGAACCATCTGAAGCATTCGCAATCCGATGTCTCAGGTTCCGGGGAATTCTGGTTTTCACTGCGTCATCGGATTCCATTTCAATCCTTTGCCGCGGCTTTACTAGGGACGTTTTGTTCTCCACATTGTAACCTTATAGAAACTTGCCAACTTTGTTGTTCTTCCTCCATTTGAAAATGTTCCTCCGGTTTCGGTTTTGTTATTCAAATTCCGAAATGGATTTGAGCGGAAAGTAGTTGGCCAATGTTCCCCAAGGGGGTGTTTGTGTGGCTGAATCCGTATCTGTATCTGTATCTAGCCATAAAAATAAATTTTCATCGTGCCGAGAATATTGCTGCTGCTGCTGATGTGGTCGTGGCGTCTTCTTTTTGCTTTTTGTCCGGCTTAATTAAAAGTATTGCCAAAGCCAAACAGAGAAAGGCCAAAGGCAAACACACAGCGAGAGTACGTATCCGATAGATACGAAAAACGGTTCGGTTGCGTGCGATACCCTCTGACAGCTATTTTCCAATTAATTGTCACTGCAGCCATGGGGCCGCAAATCTCCTCATAGATGGCTAGAAATTTACACTTTAATTAGGCATTTAGATAGTGTGTATATCTGCCTTTGATTAGTTTGCTAATTGCAGGGGTCTGGGGCGGCGGCGGCGGTGGTGGTATAACCATAAACCGCAGCTTGGCCATTAACATTAACATAAAAGTTTACGGATAGACATACGAGATTGGAAGGAGGTGTTCTTCTCAGACAACCCCTCTCCCAGCCGAAAATGGGCCGCGTTCCGATTCAATTAATTTATTATTCACTTAAGAACGCCACGGGCAAACAGGGCAGGGGGTGGCGGGCGGGGATAGCATAAAAAAGTTATAAATATTAAGAGCACAGTATGAAGAAGAACGAGGAACGAACTGGCCACGAAATACCAAATGCGACCCGCTGTCGTGTCAAAAATGTCCTGCCAGCGGGTGGTTGGGGTGGTTATGCAGGGGTGGCTGAGATGCAGGGTTGGTTGGTGGTGCAAACGGTGGGTGGGTGGATTATGAGCGCTATCTTATGGAGAACTCGTGCCGCAAGTTTTACAGTTATGAACATTTCCGCGCACGTTCTGGGCGTTACTTCTGGAAGGCAACAAAACAAGACCCCCGCAAAAATATAAAAATAAAGGGAAAGGAAAGGAAAGGGAATAAGGGGAAACCCCAAATGGTAAATACCCTGACTTTTCCTTATTGAAACTTAAAATTTACTTCATTTTATAAATATCTTTTAAACGTGATCGGTTAAACCTTGTCAAAGGTGGCTTTGCCCTTTTGGAAACTATCATATACACGTCTTAAATAACTTGTTTTAACTTTTCCCTAAGATACTGCAAGTTCCACGGTGGAACTATCTTTATATCCCATTGAAATATATCTGCCTAGCCATTGAGTGTATGATAGGCCATAAAACTCGTACTGTCATCAGCGTTAATGAAATGCCTTGAAGAGGGAAAATTATGGAAATGAGTTGGTGGACAGAAAAATTTGGAGAATCAAATGGGGAGTGAGTGGGCAATGCCTATCGGGGTTGAAATATAAGCCATGAAATTTTTAAAGACATTAGAACTAGAGCCGCCGCCATTCTGGACTAAAACTAAAACTCAGAGTGAGTTTATCACTGAGAATGCACGTGTTGTGTAAACAGGAATGGGGAATTTTATCTTCATGTGTATCTCGTGCATCCACCTGCACACACCTGCTGTTTAGTGTGTCCGTATCTGAGTTTCTGAGTATCTGGGTGGCAGTCGTCATTAGTCACTGCCCTCCAGATAAGCGAAACATAATCTTTGAGAGCAGTGAGGCAATGGGCATGCCTACGGTGGGTGTGCAAGGACGTTCGCAATCGGAGATTTCATTAAACTTCGTGGTTTTTATCAGGTTTATCAGAACGCTGCCAGTCAAAAGATGTCTTATCGGTGGAAAACACGGGCAAATCTTATCTGCGGGTTGTGTTGTTGCTGGCTACCCTATGTGCTCTTCACTTGCTCTTCTCCGGCTCTCTGTTCGATTTGCCGGAATCTAATTAATTTCCAGAGTTAATTCACTTTGCGACATAGCAGCGGTTTGTGCGGAATTTATGGCACGTGGATATCAAAATGGTAGCTTACTTTTTTCGGTCCGTTGTTTGTGGGAGGCTTTTCGTCACCCGTCGCCAAAGCCATTTAAGGCACTTCACACCTCGTTCTGGTCCAAACATTTGCATATCTCTTAGATTCCCTTGGCCATGAGATAGCTGGCAGTAGAAAAACAGAGCCTCTGAAATGGAGACGACGACTCGTACTACTCGTAGTATTCATCACAACAGTTTCCAGCGATCGTCATCTTGGGAATTTTATGAAGGAATTCGCATTAAAAGTCTTTATTGTGTTTATTTATTGCGAACGAAAATCGAGAGCAGCCAAAATGGAAACTCAGAAGCACACATGTACATCCATCTTCAAAGTAGATCTAATGGCGACGTTGTAACTGAAAAAGCAGAGGCGGCTGTCGAGGGGGACTGGCAAGGGGGCTGTTCGTGGCCAATTTCTACAGCTGGCAGCTGCTTGGAGTTCGGGGAAATCCCCAGATCGGAGCATAGACATATTGAAGTTGAATTCTTTTTTGCTATGCAGGAAAAATGAAAGATGACAGTGAAATAAACCAAAGTTGACCATGTGCGACCTTTTAACCTTCATTTTTAGTGATTTCTGAAATAAGCTAGGCAGTATGGTGCCGAAGACTACCAAAAGTAGAGAAATTTCAAAATGTATGCGTTTGGAAAGTCCCCGAAGTTAGGCAGTCAAAAGGGATTCGGAATTGGGGAGATGGGCGATAAGGGCAGGGAAGAGCGGACAATTAGCGGACAGCAAACGTGTCCCAAATGTGTTATTCAGCCCAGCCCACCGGGCCACGCCCATTGCACCTAGCTCTGAGAAGCCGTTGGAGGGTATTGGGGGAACCTCTTCACACATCCACACACTGGGGAGTGTGGCATGTCCTTGACACATATCCTTCCACTTGCTCAACACGCACACGCGGGCCAGCCAGCGCCTTGTGGGGCTTCAACAGAGCTTGGCCCTAATCCAGTTGAACTTTCCCTATTCCGTTGCCCGTTGCCCGTTGCTAACTCGCTCTCCTCTCCATTCTTCAAGGATAATAAAATGTTTCTACTTTATGGGCCAAGCGAAATTTCTGCGGCTTCGACTTTTTCGGCGCATGTGTGTGCGTTCCACTCTGCTCCGTAATATAATCCTAATGGAATTTACACTCAAACTTTACAATGGCAAGCAGCGAAGGAAACTGGATAGCAATTCAAAGTTCGAGGAAGTGGATATTGAGTTAAAAGTACGTCCGGGCCCTGCCAAGAAAACTTGCCATTGGAATTGGCAAAAAGAGGCGACCAGGAATGCTTATCTTGATTTGCAAAGGGTATGAATATAGGGGTTGATTCGGAAAGGTCAGGTGAAATGAGTAGGTTAAACGAGGGCACGGAAGATATAGAAAAATAGAACAGCACCACGATTTATTAATTTATTTCGTTTGTTTAGATACTGACACGTATAGAGCGGGATTCGTGCGTGGACCTTGTAAATCGTCGTTTCATTTGATTTGATTTTGAGACCAAATCAAAAGCCAGGCAGTCCGAGTCCTTGGACTGCCACTGGCTTAATTGTGTCTGTCAGGCGACCGCAAAGCCGCAACATGGACAAATGTCCGTCTTCGGTTCTTTTGGGTGTGTTTAGCCAGGACCAGCAGTCGGCAGTCCAAGGACACTGTTGTTAATACGGACGGAAATGCTGGCGCGGACATTATCATTTTGTCATCCACCCTCTTACAGCGCAATTATCATTAATGTGCGAGCAGAAATATAAAATACGGGGGCCAGGGATAGACAGGTTAAATTGCGCGTTACTCCCCAGTGAATGGAGCCGGTTCCTATGCTGGACTCGGTGTCCTTGTTAGAAAATGGTTAGACCACGCTAGACACTACCCACGGCTCGACTTGACTGGCGCCCAATTGTCTTAAAGACCCCGAACTAAACCCACTAAACATGCAGCACACATACACTTGGCCAGCACTCTACGAGTAGTCCCTCTTCCTTGCCGCCCGAGTGACGCACAAAACCAGCCAGCCCATCTCCTTAGCAGCTATGAATTGATTGCGTGCTGAAATTTGTTTTCTTTGATTGATTTCGCTTGACTGGTGGGTCAGCAGGGTCGGCAGGGTGGTGCGAAGGTATTTATTTTAACTAAAAGGTATGCTTTAAACTTATTGTGGGAAAAGATAGATAGATAATTTTGAATTAAAAGATCCAAACTGACTGCAAATTAAAGTAAAGTTAAAATCTGCCGCGTTGGCTTGACTTACCATTAAATGAACGAATCGCCAGACCCAAGCTGAAGTGAGCTTAACTGAAATGAAGAGCAGAGAAGGAAATGTTAGAATTGATTATCGTCTAACGTACAAACACGATGGATTGTGAACGGCAGGGATTGAAAGCGGGACTGAAAGCGATACTGGGTGCAAAGTGGATCGCCGGGCCCATCAATAATTGCGGCTTACGGCCATCTATTATGTGTGTTTACTGTGTATAAAAACGATTGATGGTTATTGATTAGGAGAACGACCCCCGCCTTTGTCGCACGTTGGCTGTGTAGAGTATGTGTTTCCTATACTAGATGCGGACTCAAATGCGTCTGTGGTGGGTATATGGATATGCCATGAATCACCAAGAAAACAAAAGAAAAAACGTGGCTAAAACAAAACTCGCGTAGGTAGCGCCAATTTTTTAGGCAATCACAAACATAAATAAGCATCGCCAAAATTAAATAAAGCCAAACTAATACAATCTTAAAAGAGAACAAACGAAGTGGGATTGTCGACTGGAATACACTCTGTTTTAAGCATTTTTCAAATTGTCAAATTTTGCATTTGGAATAAGTCTTAAAGATTCGTAGACATCTGAACTTCCGACCGATATACCCAATGCTTTTGCTTGAATGTAATGGGTATGAGTATCCAAATCAACTAAGCGCAGAGCGAGCGGACAGTCCATTAATTTGGCTTACATCTCGCAGGGGATTTGTTTATTTGGCTTTCGTGGCCAGCAGAAATTCCCTCGGAATCTTTGTGTTTGGTTTAGTCTTTAAGAATCGCTTCGGGAACCGCTACTTCATTTGCATTGATTGTGTTATTAGCACCGAAATTGCATCTTCTGTTTGCGCTCTTTAATGTCATTAATTTGTTTTGAAGTCGAACGAATGGACTCGGGGACGGTGGCAGGGGACAGGGGATTGGGGATTGAGGATTGGGCTACCTGGCAATGGCAACCGTTCCGGGTCTTCGGTTTTTTGTTATTTTGTGCGAATTTTCGCGTTGAGTTCGCATTGAAATGTGCAAAAAACCTAATTAGGTGCAATTAACAGCAATTTTGTTGCGCTGCCGGCCAAAAAGAGTGAGCCGAGGTGAATTGAATCGCCGCTGAAAGCCAAATTGAAGAGGAAAGTTTAATTGAGCCTTTGGTTAAGGAAGTGGGCTGAATGCGTGATTTGAATTTTAGGACTAGTGTTCGCATAGTGTATTAATACAGTCGGCTACTTTTGTGTTAATTTGAAATTTAATCATGATACTTTTCCCCTCTAGGCTTTAAGCTTGCAGTAATTGCTGATGGCTTATGCCGCGCCCCCATCTCAGTGTGATCCAAAATGTGGGGCGCCGCGGGAAATGAAAATTCGAATATAGATGTGTTTTATAGGCATCAGGGGGAATAGTCATCAAACTAATGTCGAACATCAAACGGGAGTTCAAATGGAGATGCGATGCGGTGACCTTGACTGAATGTAGCCGCTGATCACTGATCAGGGTTCTCCTAATGAACGGAGAATAAGCTAACAATTTCATTTTTCTCGGCTGTCCAGCAGTAAAACGATGGACTGCGACGCACACACTGAAAATTATTTAATTTAGTGATTTTAATTTCTCTGTGCTCGCCGTTTTTTGCCTCAAACCACATGAGACTGAGACGCCGATGCTGATTGTCTAATTTCATTAATCTAGACAAATGGAGGGGCTGTTCGGGCCCGAGGGCACTAATACTCATACACATGAATCGGCTGAGTCAAGACGACTGGCAGTGTGCCAGTCAAACGCTGGTTTTGACCCACTGTGCGCGCTCTTTGTCAATTCGAATTTAGAATTTGACCTCTGTGCACTAGTTGCGTTGCGCGGAAGGAAAGAAAATTAAGAGCTGAGGCTGGGGCTGTGGCTGCGGCTGAGGGGGACAGGGGACGGGTACGGATCGAATAGAAATCGTTTCATTGCGTGGGACTGTCCGACATAAATCACACTTGAGTGCTGCCAGCAATCGAACCAGAGCACAAATAATCGCTTAATTAGCCCCCGGGCAAAGTCCAAGTGGAATTCCACCTTCATTTTCATTTTCAGTAGGTTCCCGGCTGTCGTCAGGCGAAAATCCGTTGGCACCCGAAACCAGAAAACTGCTAAAATATATGTGGTGGTGGCTTAACAAAGTTAGGGGGACAGAGAGATACTTTTCTATCAATGAAACCCATAATATTAATTAACTATAATCAACGGTTTTGATCTGTGGGAATAATTGTGAGCTGTCTAAAGTATATTATTAATTTAGAGTATGTATTTTATTTGGAAAACGGGAATACCCTACTAAATCATAATCTCAAATAATTAGAACTGTCAGTTGGCTTGTTCGCTGCTAAGCTGAAAATTGATATAGGTGAGGCTGTTTGGTATGTAAATCGGAATATTAAGTATACGTTTTTCCAATACGCTGTTACCTTCCGCAGGGTTTTATAGTCCTTAGTATATTAGCGCCCAAATAATCTTCTTCGTCGCTGTATAGGCCATGATTTATGAATCTTGCCCGGGACCCCGGACACAGTCACAATCACAGAACTGGGCGTGGACCCGGCTTAGAGGCCCTCTACTAGTCGACCTTCGTTTGGCGACTTACAAATTCGTTTTACACGCTGGATTTTTGGGCTTTGTTTCTACCTTTCTGGCTGTTGTGGGCTTTAATTTTGTCGGCTTCTAATGCTTCCGGTTCCACTCCTCGGACTCAGATGTGTGTTGTAAGTTGAAGGCCTTGCTGGCGATAAGATATGGCCCTGCCGCCGTACACCGCGCATTGATTACCCGACTTGGCCTGGCCCACTTTGCGTGGAAGTACGAAGTATGGCGGCCATTAAAAAGTCATTACAAAAGCACAACACACATCATGCATTCGTTTTTTAAATAGGATGGGGATGGGGCGCTTAGACAAGTACCTGGCATAATTGCAAAGGGGCAATCAAAAGGTTCAGACAGCAAACGGGAAGTTCCATGCCCAAGCCGAGCTTTAAATTTCCGCTACGACTCCGCACCACCGACCCCCTTTATTTGGAGAACCCCCTTATGGAACCCCCGTGTTCCAGTAATGATCACTTAAAGGGCCCGTACTCATATTTGCCCATTGATCATGGAAGTTAATTATCGTGTGGCAAAGGCATTTTTTCGACTGCGGCTCCAACTTGGCTCAGTTGGTGTTAGGACGCAGACAAACTGACATAGTAACTCGTCGTGTGTGCTAGCAATGTTCACAAAACGTGAAGTATTTGCCACTCAAGTTGCCTTACTTCCTGTCTTACGGTTTTAACAACAGTATCTACTGAGGTTTAACCACCACCTGCCTAACGCCGAAAAGAAGACTGAAGCGTTCTTGGTTCTTGGAAATATAGCTGGGGACAGACGAAGAACATCTTTAGATAAGCCTATCGGTGTAAATGAACCCAATTACCGATAGCACTTGAATGTGGTCAAGAAATAAATTGCAGTAGCATTGATTACAATGAACAAAGTCGATCATCACATTTAGAACTCAAATATATATTTGTTTTGCATTCTTACAAACTTCCAATCGATATACTTTCCCCTCTTTATTTGAAGAACACTGAACAACAAGTCATGGGAATTTCTAAGACTTAGAGTACTCTGATTATCGCTGATCGCAGCTAAGCCACTCACAGAGCTGAATCAACTCGGATCAAGGCGATCATGGCACACTTTTGTTTATATTCTTTCGATGTACTAACATATTAGCTATGAGCGGTGGGTGGATGCGGGTGGATCTTGTTGAGCGCCGCCTTTTTGTGTGGCCGCGGCTTAAATCACCCGACATTATTACAGTAATTGATTAATTGATTAACTTGCAGTCAATAAAAAGACCGTCGGGCATGTGCCGTTACCATGGGCGTGGCACTTGACGATCGGTCGTGTCGGCGCAGTTGTCGTTTCAATGTCGCCGCTTTTCAGTTACAATTGATTGCTGACAATGCAGCAGAAATAGATACGCTCGGAGCGTCGGAATTACACGGAGCTCATTACATGTGCATATCCGATCTGGATCCGATCGTGGAGCCATCGGCGGGGTTGGCAAATAATCAGCCAGAAGTCGGCGATTAGTGGCTAAACTTACTAAAAAGTTTATTGGCGCCCTAATGGAGAGGCTAATAAGACCCGAGTACGTTTTAATCAGAGAGATATTATATTAATTATGTATGATTACCATTATGATTATGAGACAACAAATATTTGATTTGTGTTCGGTTTGGGCATCTTTGTCTCTCGACTCCTCCGTTGCGGGGGATTTATGATATTTTAATTTATTTTGAATACCAAATGAACTGCCGAGTGTTTTAAATGGAGGTTAGGATGGGCTTGTTTCGAATGCTAATTAGCAGAAACAAGTTGAACAAAGCTCGGAAATACATACTAAAATAAATAGAGGTAGAAGCACAAACATCCAGGGGAAAATGGAGAAATACTAAAGAGAAACGAGTTTCGACTAATGAATGGCGGTATGCGTGAATGGGAAGTTGCAGATATCATAGAGGTGGCAAAGGGGTATTCGCTTAGGAAAAATATAGAGAATATGCCAAATGAAATGCCAATGAACCAAAGAGGCCAAATGGCTATTTTTCTTTTTCTTACTTTTCTATGCCGCTCATTTGTTTTGCTTTGAATAAATTATGAATGCTTTTGCCATTTGCCGAATGCGAAAAAGGAGGAAAACGATTCCGCACCGCAGACTTATGGCCACTGGCCGCTGACCAATGGCCATTCGAAAGTCGCCACTCGGAAATGGAAATTTAAATGGGAATGGCCGATGGTCGATGGACTGGGCATGTATTTGGGATCGGGTCGTAATATTGTACTTCCAAATCGGTCAGCGTGTCAGCTGGGAAGATCGGGTGACTAATAGAAAAACTTGAACTAGCTGGTTGCTGGCGAAGTTTTCTTAGCTGAGCTTAAGCGAGAAATGTCGACGACTCCCACCCACCAGCGCACACCCACACACTCAGAGCGGCAAAGTGTAACAAAGTTAAAAATCCACACA